GTCATCTAGTCCAACCCCCCTGCCTGGGGATCCTGGAATGCAGAGGAAGTTGGCTGCAGTCACCTGTACACTGTGCTTCATTTAAGGATTTAGCCCCAGGACTGAAAGAAATGTTCTGCCCTTTCCTAGGGTCTGGGCTTTATCCAAACTCAATGTAAACCACGTTGCTTAGCCACGGGCACAGCCTGCACTTTGGTAGAGCTCTTTTCCCTTTTTCTCGGAGCATCTTAAGCCTCCAAGAGCAAGCTTGAAATCTGCAGGTCTTCGTGAGCTCAGGGCTGCATCAGAGGCCTTGCAACTGATGGCTTCTAGTCTTTTTTTTTTTTTTTTTACCACTTGGGCAGTTAGAGGGAGCTTACTTGCACTGCAAAATAAATGTAGGACCATAAAAACTCTCCTGTGCATATAAACAGGTCATGAATTTAATAACTCTTTAGTATGACAAGCACTAAACATATGATGAGGCTGGCATCATATGTAATGCAGGTAAATAAATGATCTGCTACTTATACAAGTGAAGTAGTAGAAAGTTGGTTTGGGAAGTGAAAGTAGTGATGGATGGTTACTTTTAAGCTCCATGCTTGTCTTTATTCCTTGCTCCCCTGTTTGTTTCTGTTTCTGTTTTATCTGTTTAGATAAGTTCTTCTAGGCAGAGACTGTCTCCTATATGGGTACGATGCCAGGAAATGGTGATCCTGTTACCTGCCTGATGTTAGTATGGTATGAAAAGAAATACTAATTGAAGTCCGTGGTGCTGCAGATGAGAAAAGATTTAAGTCGTATATATGCACACAGGTGCACACTATATATAGTGTGTACACATATATATGTGTGTATATATATCTATATATATGTATTATATTACAAATGTGTGTATAGATATATATGTATTACATTACATATATAGAGAGAGATAGATATGAGTCATATAATATTGATAGTATATACTATAATATTTATATTCTATACTAAAAACTGGCTAAAGGAATGTTAAAGTTGGACCATCCAGGACTCAGTGATGCCAGAATTAAGGTGCAACCTTGACTGTAGTCCCTTTGTGCATGTGCATTATGAGTCAGACTTTAATGACATGATCACATACTATTACTGCAGTAATTGCAGCCTGTGGAGCTACTGTGATGTCTACTGTAGGTCAGCAATAGGGACTGGACCTGTAGATCTGTAGCCCAGACTTCTACTGCTAGAAGTAACAGAGTAAAAGGTAGCAGTGTTAGGCAGTTATCCTCTATATGGACCTGTCTTTGGAGCAAGGATAAGATGCGTGTGTTTGCTCCAAAGTATGGATATGTTGGAGTTGCTCCGTGACACAGCTGTGAGACGGTTTTGAAATGGGAATTCATATGTTTCCTGACCCTCCTTCTCAAAAATGGCTGAAGTATTAAATCCAGCCCCCCCTCCCCGCATCGTTGGCCGATAGCAGGCAGCAAGCAGGGAAAGCAGCAGCCCAGACTTATTAAAGTCTGGCAAACTTGTAAGCAGTTGAAAACAGGGGCTTATGAGAACCATCAGGCAACCTGAACTTTTAGTTCCCTCCTCAATGTTATCATTCAAGAAAGGGGTTGCTAATCCCAGGCAGATCCTCAGGCGGTGTAAATCAACATGAGGGCTATGGGACTCTGCCAGTTTACCCCAGCGAGGAATTGGCCCGCTGTTTCTAAGTTTGCTCCCACATGCTCCAAAGCTTTGTTTGTTCTTCTCCCTCCTCTTCCTAGCGGGGAGCCACAGGAAAGCTCCAGCCCCCT